TTCCGATTCAGTGTGCGTACCTCTAACACCATTTATCACAGGATGCAATTGGTTCGATGCGATATTATCTTAATTCCACTGTCTCTGTTTCAACCTGCTATTCTGGGTTTTAACCTTAGAGGGCGTTTTTTTTTGTTTTATGCCCGTTTACAATTACCATGCAATGTTCGATCCCGATATTCTGGTTAACACGAAGTGATTCATTCCATCATCCATGCAAAACACTGTCTGCGAGAGATCCCGGTCGAGCCACCCAGTATGTTGTATGTGTTGGGATTATGAAATTTTGATGAAAATAATAAAAATTAATAATTTTCCGAAAATTGCGCAAATCGCATTAATTATGATAGTGTGTGTATTAATATGCATAAATTATGATAATGTGTGTAATTATATGCATAAATTGTGATAATCACGGAGATAATCGTAGTAATTTATGCGGATGCTTGCGATTATGTTACTGTGTGCAGTTATGATAATTAGGCTTGGTTTCGTTTATCCAGGGTTATATCAATCAGGATAACACGATTATCGTCGATTAAACATTTGCTGATTATCTTAGTGTGTTATGTTATTTTTAGGTCTCCAGGTTCAGATCTCATCACAGGATACAGTTATCAAGAATAAGATAGTTTTGCATGGACTTGGAAAGAAGCACTCGAACAGTTGGTGTTAAGCAATTTTAATTCTAAACAAGCACATGACACTCTCTTATGCGAAAGCAGGTATACGTCAGTAAATTCATGGGCAAAATTATGCAATTAACGAAATTGAATGACTAAAAATACTTCTTCATTGGCGAAATTATGCAGTTAACGAAAATGAATGACTAAAACATTTCTTATTCATGTAACTCGACGGCAGCAACTGCTTTGCACGTTCAGTTGATATTGAACGCACCACCTCGAAATGGCAACCCTTTTTGAAACGCAAAGATCACTTTTTGAAAGTCTTATTCGTATGCGTGCTGTGTGTGCGTTGTCCCCTCGTAATATTAATTGTGTCGTTAGCTTGTGTGGTGTAGGAGGATACAAACAGCGGCCAGGTGTTCCTCTCGATTGGGCGTGGCCGCCGCAAGCTCCTGCTGCTCCCTCGCTCGGACGCGTCTCTGCTTGTGCGCTCTCTTTTTCTCCACTGCTGGATGACGAGTTGGCACGACGCTCGGTGACGCCCGGTGACGTCCGAGTCGTGCTGCTCTTGCGCTCTCTCTCCCTCTGCTGGATGACGAGTTGGCACGACGCTCGGTGACGCCCGGTGACGTCCGAGTCGTGCTGCTCTTGCGCTCTCTCTCTCTCCACAGCCGTTTGACCATGCTTTCTCCACTGCTTCGCGCTCTCTGCTTTGCACGCTTGGTCGACGCTTGGCGATCTCCGCCCTTTTACAGGTTGATTGCTTGTCGTCACTCGTCACTCTCTCTGCTCCGTGCTTCCCTTGTTCGTGCAGCTGCCAGCTTCACTCGCACTTAACTTCGTTCTGCGAGAAGCGACACCGGCTATCGGCATCGGTGTTTCGTTTCCTCACGACGCTCCGCCAGCCGGAGCACGGCTGAAACCCAGCCCCGACCCAGGTTGAACTCAGACTTCTGTGACTCGAACGACTCCTCCTCGTTCCATCACTTCTCGAGGCACAACCGCCCCAACTCTCTTGCGAGCCCCGTCGCAACGCTGCGTCGCAAGCCGAGTTGCGAGACTGAGCGCGACTTGGACAGATTGCTCTCAGGCGGTCACTCTCTGACCCCTCGTCGTCCCATCTCTCCTCGAGGCACGATCTGCCCCAACTCTCTTGCGAGCCCCATCGCAACGCTGCGTCGCACGCCGAGTTGCGAGACTGAGCACGACTCAACCCAGACTGCTCGTTCGCTGTGTGCCTGTGCCTAACTCAAAACGTGACTCCCTCTTCTCTCTCCGCGTCTCTTGCGAGAGAAAATAAACAGAAAAAAAACCAGATGTTCTCGAATGTCAGCACAAACCCCCCCCCCCCCCCCTTTGTGACCTTTCTGCTCCCTTCTTGCTTACCCTGGGTGGGTCATTCTGAGGTCAGACCCCGCTGGAAGACAAAGGTGGTCGAGGAGATGTTTGCAATACATTTATGTGGTCCTGTGTGTTACATTTATTCTTGAATTATATTTTATGAGTTCCTTCGGTCTTAGTATCCTGGTTATCATTCGTCTATGTTTAATGAATATTCGTAATGCTCCTCGTCACATTATTATTTTGGGGCTTCGCCCAGTTTAGTTCTCCAGAGATTGGTGTTTATTCCGAGTTATATTTTAATGTCCTGAGGTTAAATGTAACTATGTTTCCACTTAAGCTTTCTGGAATTCGTACTCTTTAGTTTTTTTGGAAGGTTGTGTAGGTAGGAAACATATAATAATAGTAAAAATATTGTTTGTTGGTTAATTATCTTTGTTAAGTTTCTACTTTTCGGTGAGGAAAACGTTAAGAAAACGCGAAGTTTCAACCGTTATTTACTCTGCACCTTATCTGTACATCTCCAGATGTCTTGGGAGGTTTAGTCCATACATCTTTTTGTCCGTCTGGATGTCTATGACCTCTTTGTGACCGAATTCCCATCATTTCAACCGCCCTCCATGTCTCATGGACTCCCGGTGTGCCCGTGAGGAGAAGTGAGCCGTCCTCATTATTAAAAAAAATATATATATAGATATAATAAAAACAAAAAATGTTTTTTCTTAATTATTCTTAATATTAATAACGGAAAACAGGGCATAGATACAACAGCGGACCGAAACCGGCATGATACCAGGTACCCCTAAGGCCGTTCTGCGTCAGCCGCACGAATCAGCTGGTCGGGATCGATCTACAGGGGCCATTCCCGCGATCCCATCGAGGCAACCGGTATATCCTAGTCGCAGTAGAGTATTTCACCCGCTACCCCGTGGCAGTGGCCATCCCTGATAAAACGGCCTTGGTGGTGGCCCGGGCATTCGTGGAACATTACGTACTTATGCACGGGATCCCAGAACGAGTCCTCACCGACCAGGGTAGCGAGTTCGAGGCCGAGCTGTTCCAGGCACTGTGCCAAGAATTCGGAATCCAGAAGGACCGAACCACAGCGTACCATCCCCAAGCGAACGGTATGGTAGAACGCATGAATCAGACCCTAGCGGGGAAACTCAAACGTATGGCGGCCGCAAATCAACGGGATTGGGACGAACACCTCCCCTACGCCCTTTTCGCCTACGCCACCACCGTACACACGTCGACGGGACAAACCCCGTTTTTAATGATGTTCGGCCGTGAGTCTCGTTTACCCGCAGATTTGCTATTCGGCGTCCCTTCCCCCCAGCCGGAAGCCGCCCCGTGGAACACCTGTTGGAGACCCTGCGAGAAGCCCGAGGCCGAGCATACCCGCAAGGGGAAGGCGCGCATCGGCGGCAGGAACAGGGCACCCGACCCCGCATGGAACCCCCCTTATTCCTGACAGGTGCTAAGGTGTGGCTCCACACCCCTCGAGTCGGGGCCGGGCAGGTGGGGAAACTGACGACCTACTGGCGAGTACCCTGGACCGTGGTGCGGCAGATCTCCCCCTGGACGGTACTAATTTATGGCGGGGAGAGGGGTCGAGAGACGGTGGTCAACGTCCGCCGCTTAAAACCGTGGAAAGCGGCCCCGGCGAGAGAGAACCCCGTCACCCGAAGGCCCCGAAATCCCGGAGTACCCGCACCCCTCGTGTTGGGGGGCCTCGCACACTACATGGGACCCGCCGGGCCCCCAAGACGCCCCGATCCAGTCCGGAGACGGCGCGGACGACGGGCCCTAAACCCTTCCGCTGCTGAGTTTGTGCCTCAGCCCACAGGTGCCGGAGGACGGGGAGAGCCGCTGGAGTGGAGGAGGAGGCCGCCGCAGGAGCTACAGAGGACGGAACCACCCGCCCCGAGGCCAGCCACCAGGTCCGGACGGATCCCCCGGACCCCGCAACGTTTCCTCGTGGGCGCGGCCCAAGCGAGGTGCTCCAGTCAACCCGGGACGGGGACTGGCACCTCGGGGGGCTATGTGATGCCGCCGCCACGAAGCTGTTCGGCAGGCGCCCCATCCCCGACCTCACCACCACCAAGCAACGGAGCCAACCCCTCGTCCCCCTCACCTCACCTCACATGAACACACCCGCACGCATTTTCCCCCACCCATAGAGCTGGAAGGGGAGATCACCTGATCGACCGGTTTTTATCCGAGAAACCCTTATCGGGATTAACTCTCACGGTTTCCGGCGATCAGAAAATTGTACGACCTCCCCCGACGCTACGTTGCGCCGCGGCGCTGCGACCGACCTTAATATGGTATGGTTGCAGCGTGGGGCATTCGGCCACCGCGGTTGAGGCGCATTCCCCCCACACACACCCCCACAGGTCGACGAGACAGACAGATGAGAGACGGGGCGGCGTAGTTTAGGGTGCGCAATTGATAGGGCAGGTGGTGGGGACATGCGGAAGCTCCGCGCTTAACTTCAGCAGCGGGCCGTGGTGATGGACGCCGCTGCATGGTGCGAAGGAGCACAGCGCCATGCAAGAGAAAGGGATAAATTAGAATTTACGCCGCACATTGATTAGCATGTCAAAGGCGCCCGGAACCGCCGTGCGCGTGCAAGCTGGCGCGAGCCCATTGTTAGGGAAGGGCTGAGGGACGCCATCCCGCTCGGAGCCGCATCCCTTTGATGTAGGGAGGATAAAAAGGGGGCACAAACGAGAAATCGCTCTCTTCTCTCCAGCGCCAGGCGACAGGACGCTCTCCAGTCCAGCGACCCGAACGTCCGTGAGACGCATCGAGGCACGCTGCGAGTACGGGATCAACGAACCGCCGTGGGCATCTAACAGGGAGTAAGAAGGTGAAGTAGGATCATAGCCGATAGATAGAGAATAGATTCAGGGGTGGTAGAATAGGCCAGCCTCGTCGACTCATACTGATCTAGCATCAATTCGCAGGTAGCAAATAATAAAGCATTAATAGCGAAGCGTGGCCTCGTGTGATCTCGTGAGCGGTGTGAACGCGTGTACTGCGGCTGCTCGCCTCGTGGGAGCGCTGCGCAGAGTGGCGCGAGAGTGGGTGTCGCGTGTGGAGCTGTGTGTGTGCATGTGCGTTCGCTCCGTGCGGGTTGCAGGTGCGCGATTAGGCAAGGGAGGTATCGTGGTAGTGTAAAGCGGGCATAATACTACTCGGTATCTAACCATGCCTACGACGCGGACCCGCGGTGGAGGGGAATCCTCGAGCGACGGCTCCCACACCATGGGTGAGGAACCCAGCAGCGGTTCGCTTAGCAGCGGGGGGGCGAGTGATGATGTTAGCCCGGCCGTAAGCATTATCGAGGGAGGGATCTCGGGGACTAGCGACCCCCACATAAGTCCTGATGATCCGCATCAGTTTCCTCCAGGAACGTAATAAACTGACCGTGCTGAAGTCCCCTTGCTCGTATAAAGTTCACAAGTTTTACGACTGAATTCACGACATGATTAAGCTGCAATACACACTTACATAGGGATTCCTGATGGATGATGCAGTGAAGGAAAATAAGATCCTGGACTGGGTTTTCCTCTTTCACTTTATCCTGGATTCTTTCCAGCAGCCCAACATTTTTTCCAGTTAAATTTGGCGATCCATCCGTTGTGACATTGACAAGTTTACTCCGAGGTAGCGTCATTTTTTTCGATGACAGCAGATACCTGGTTATACAAGTCCTCTCCCTGCATTGTTCCTTTTAGGGACTCCATGGTCAAAAACTCCTTTGTTATTGCAAAACTGTCAATGCCTCGGATAAAAATGAGGAGCTGAGCAGTGTATTTTACGTCCGTACTTTCATCCAGTGCTAGTGAATATAATTCAAAGGAATCAGACTTTTTGTTTAATTGACACGGCGAGTCACAGTCCTGCGAGATAAACTGACTTATTCAAATTAGCTTTTGATCTCCGGACACAAGATGTCTGCTGTCTGTACCATGTATTATTTTACAAACTTGCCTTCGGAGAAAGTGGTAATGAGTGGTAATGTTGGTAAGAAGAAGTTTTTAAAGAAAATTTTTATCGAAGTGAAGAAGGAAATTATTGAAAAGTTCGTATAATTAATGATTTTTCAAACTTGAATTGTTTTCTGTGCTTAAAACGCTTTAAAAAACTGTGGGGTCTAGAACGGACTCGTGAAATTCGGAGAGAAGTCGGAGTTTTGTTGAATTACATAAAGTCCGCCATCTAATGGGGGAATGGGGGCATTACAGGAGGAAGGTAACATTTAATTTAATATTTGGATAAGTTCGGCGGGCCGGATTAAAAAACCCAACGGGCCGGACTTTGCCCATGTCTGTCCTAGAATCAACCCACCCGCACCTGCAACATGGCTTCATCCCAGAGGTCACAATCGGGTACCCGTACCCTACCCGATACCCGTACCCTACGCGTACCCGGCCAGGTACGGCCGGGTATGGGTACCCATTTGCGACCCTGGTGCGGCCGGGTACGGATATGGATAAAGAATCAAAACCCGTTTGCGACCTCTGATTCAAACCCAAACTGGAATTATGGGGGCGACTAGTGAACATTGGAACTTTTGACATGTTTCAAACACTAGCAGAGATTTTGAAAGAGACTGAGCCAGGGCCTTTCTCCCAGCTGGTGCATTAAAACCTATCTCAGCTTTTAAAAGAGTTTGAGCATTACTTCCCAACCACAAAAGACCCCGAACTGGGAAGGAATGGACCCGCGACCCATTTGTGAATAAGCCAGGTGAATCGACCTTGTCTTTGCTAGAAGAGGATCAACTGCTTGAGATCGCAAATGGTGGCCTTAAAAGTACAGTGATACCTCGGTTCACGAACGCTTCGGTTCACGAACAACTCGGTTCACGACCAGAAAATTTCATAAAAATATGCTTCGGTTCACGAACAGGAGCCGCGCCCATTTTTATGCTAATTCCAGGCTGTCACATGGTCGTGATTTATTGTAACGGGAGCGAGCAATGCAAAATCAGCCGAGGGAGTACCCGCTTCCTCCTCCTCCTCCTCGGGGGCTCGCGACACGTGGTGCGCCCGCCTCTTCTGCCCTTCACGCGCAGGCTACACGCGCGCGCGCACGCACGCACGCGCGCGGACGCACGCACGCGCATGCACGCGCGCGCACCCCGGAATGAGCGGAGAGGCACACATGCGCCAGCTGTGACAGTCATCCCTCTTCACCTAAAAATAAAAAAACCCCGAGCGATGGATTTTTTTCCACGTATTTTCGTCAGCGTTGACCACAGCCCCCCGAAACGATCTCTCCTTGAAAAATCCATTATGCAAAAATGGAATGAGTGCCATTACTTTTTTGAAAAGCACCACCCCAACATAGCTGTCACGAACAGAGTGTTAAATCTCATGAATGATAATGTGGTCTCTGTTGTATACTAACCCTTCTTCCATAATTGAGATTAATAATATTTGATGATTTTTATATATTATCTTTTTACTTGTTTTTTTAATGAGTGAAACACACCAAGCGCAGCAAACTGCAAAACACCAGGTGTTGTTAAGTAATGAACCGGAGGAGGGCTAGGATGGCAGAATTTACAACGTTGCTTCAAGGGAAGATAAGGCCTGATGAACGGGCACATGTCACCCGTGCAGGCGGCAGAGACAGTGGGAGTGTCAGCCAGACATAGTTAAGGCAAAAGCCCAATCATCCTGCATGGTTTTAAAGTAACGTCAAAATTCGAAATTCAACAACAGAGTAGGCTAAATTATCGATCCTCGCGCTCGCTCAAACTGGAGACCAGGCTGCGAGCTACATCAATGAACCATTGCCCATTTGCTAATCCAATACTGAATGTTAATATTACTGAAGTCAAAACGAATTCTATGACCTCAGCACATGGGCAAATAATAGGGCAGTGTCGACTCAAAGGCAATGGAAGAAACAGAGGCGCCTTTGTCTAAATCACAACCACAGAAAGCCAGGAATCATCACTGATTGTGTGTTCAGGAATTCCGAGCTAGTTAGAACACGTGCACAGGGGGGGAGCTGATGTAAACAACCCTGCGCGTCTGGATGTGAGGGGGCCTTGGACCTGGAATCAAGAATAAACACTCCCAGAGCAGAAGGTGGACAGGGGGAGAGGTGATTTAAAAGAGGGTTGTATATCTCTCAAGGCACAAGACCCAGCTGAACAACACGGCTGCGGGGGTCACCAGAAGTTCGCATTCGCCTAGTTAAGACAAAAAGCTCAATTATTCTGTATTGCTATTAAAGTAACGTTAAAGTCGGAATTTAACAACAGGGTAGGCTAAAGTTATCGATATTCACACCCACTCCAATTAAACCAGGCCACAAGTTACGCCTACTGAACCATCACCATTATTAAGTCAATATGAAATGTTATTTCCATACTTCAATACTTTCTATACAATTCGACCCGAAGCATATGACAATCAGAACCTTCCTAAGTCAAAATTGAATCGCACCCAGACAGGAGCGAATAGTCAATATAAGGTTGAAGAGGGAAGGAAATCAAGAGCACGGCGAACTGCAAACGTAAGCAAAAAGCCGGGAACAACACCAGCCCAGCAACAGCGAGTGGGGCTTCGACAGGCCATAAAGTAGAATAATAACTCCCGGGGTCAGGGGACACAAGAAGAAGCAGGCAGACAAAAACCAGAACTGACTCCAAGGTTCAACCGCCCTCACCTACTCAGGGGTGACGGAAATTAATGAGGCCTTGAATTAACGGCAGGCAACAACAACGGCGAGCAGAGATAGGGTGGGGCAAAGACTGCGGGCTATGGAATGCAACTTCGTGTCAGTAAAGCCCTGACAAACAAGTTAAGTTAAAGACATCACAATACATAATATCGCACATAACATCAATGTTAACGCTATTCACCGTAAACTATATTCCGCTTATATAACCATCCAGGCACCAAGGAATACGAATTCCTAGGATCAAGAAACTTACCCCTTAACCTAAGATATCGGGAATAAATTAATAGTAATAAGTATATGCATGAAAAGACAAAGTAAAACTTATGAAAAGCCAGGATAACGGGATGAATCACAACCAGGTCGAATATAATACATAATAAAAAAAAAACGATGTTAAACCCAGGGTCGGAGAGAAAGGGAGATCCCGGCCGTCTTTGTATCCCCGCAGCGCGGGATAGGAGTGTGTATACGCTCGGGGAAACCTACACTTGAGTCAAGCACCACGATGGGAAACGACAGACCTTAGGTTACATACAGAATCATAACTGTGAAATAGTAAGGGACAAATGTTAACTTAAAACTTTTAACCATTTCTTTGTGCGCCGGGTCGGAGAGAGTGTTGCCCCCCTCCAGGTTGTGCAACACGAACAAAGACGCCTATGAGACGATTTGTAACGTCTGTGTTTTGGGTTCATGAAGAAGGCCAGACAAGAGATAAATTGCACCCAGACAGAGAGACGACTTCGAGACAATTTGTAACATCTGGTTGTTTGCTCGTGGGTTTTATGGAGGGAGTTGACAACGGAATATACCGTCAGTGATGCACACAAGGACATACGGACACACACATGGACACACCTGCCTACGGACAGATCCTGACACAGCAAAAATCGGAAGCCCCGCCTTGTGGGCGGGATCCAGGGGGATTTTTCAGCATAAAGGAACGGATCCTGAACATTGGAAACCAGTGCGACGGGAGGGTCCACTCAGAAGCTCGACCGGGAGGGTCGACTCAGCAGGAGTGCGACGGGAGGGTCCACTCAGAAGCTCGACCGGGAGGGTCGACTCAGGAACGAGTGCGACCAGAGCGGGTCCACTCAGGAGTGCGACCAGAGAGTCGACTCAGGAGCGAGGGCGACCAGCGGGTCGACCCAGGAGCGAGCTCGACCGGGAGGGTCGACTCAGGAGCGAGCTGCGACCAGCGGGTCGGCTCGACTCATCTTCAGCTCGTCAATCTCTGCTGCCGCCGGAGATCTCCGCTGCCGCCGGTGGTGAGCGTCGCGACTTGGCGACGATCCAACGCTGCACGCTACGAGCGAGTTGTGGGCGCCACCTACCGACCGGGTTCCGAACTGCGACAGCGTATCAACAGCCATCCGAGCCAATTCACCACGGTGACAGGAGAGCGCCTGATACGTATGACGCGCACCGCCCCCTTACCACACGACCACCAGGCGTCTGTTTGACATAAAGAATCGACTCCGAACACTGACTATTCAAGACAACTCTTACCACTCAAACACACTCGAACCCATAAGTCATCCGTGGCTGGGAAGGCATCACAACGAGACCGAGTGGTGGCATCCGTCGTATAAGAGTATTCTTAATTTTTATCTTTAATATTTAGTGGGCTGTACTCTTAATCGCATAAATTCCCAACAGATCCATCAATACGAACTGATTCTTGGCACCTCCTTCCGCCGAGCCACGCTCACGTGGGGAGTGGTGGTCACCGGATCCTTATCAGGTGATCTGGTCCCCAATTAGTAAACTTGGTATAAGATAACGATCTTCGGAAAAGGAGCACCGTCGCAGGCCCTTACTCCGAGCCGTTCTGCTGTCAGATAACCTGCCGATGTATCTGTTGAGATTGGTGCCTTTAAGAATAGTAACTGTTTTGATTGTGTTTTTTTTATCGCCGTATAATCTTTCAAGTATCTTTCAGTCATAATCGCCGCACGTACTCGCATCCTCTACAGAATATTCAACTGTTCCGTGACCCAAGGTGTTAACAACGTGATAAGGGTTGCGTATGATCAATAAGGAGTGCGGTACTGCGTGAACAATATTGAGTATAATCATTTATTAACGTTAAGGTTTTCTTAGCATAGTATTTGCACGTTTTAACGACTCTCTCTCTCACTAACAACCATCGCGTTATGCGGGATCCATGTGCAGTTGTCGAAGTGAAATCCGACAATCGTTGATGATACTGTATTGATGCCGTATTGACGTTCCGGGATTGAGAGTTCGCATACTATATCATAGTTAAGGTTGAATTAGTAATAAATTGATCAATACAGAAGTGGTTGTGTGATTCTTTCCTGAAATCTATGCATAAGATCTGCTTCTGCGTTGAGATTTGAACTTGGTGACCTTAATAAACACACTAATACATACTCAGTAAATGTTAAAGCGATAACGGGGTGAACCGGGGTCTGGTTATCATAACGACTTGCGTTATCATAATTACACCCACTCGCATAATTAATACGATTACCTCTCGAATTGGCATAATTAAAATGTGCGTAATTACATAAATTAACATATTTCCGGATAATTACATATTTGGCCAAATTTCATTTAATTATTATTATTTCCACTGAATATTCATAACCCACATATACAACATAATAATTTCACCCACGCACGCATACAACATAACAAATTTTCATACCCAACATATACAACATAATGGGGGCTCGTCCGGGATCTCTCGCAGACAGTTTATGCATGAATTCAGGAACGAATCACTGATGTGTTAATCAAAGTGTTGTGAACTAACGTTGCCTTGTGATTGTAAACGGGGGTATACAAACAAAACGCGCTCTGAAGGGAAATACCAGAGTAGCAGAGTATAACAAAGACAGCTGGGCTGAGATTATTTGCTCGAGTTGAACTGACGCATCCTGTGATACAATTGTTTATATGTGCTCTGAAGGGGAATTCTAGAGTAACTCACGACGCACATGAGATGTTAGAATTAAGATACACTCTTAAGTCTATTAACCACACTACATAATAGAGAGGGCACAGGATCCACAACATTCTGAGTTTGACACACCAACGCATAACACTGATACAGAGTGGACCTCTGAGGAGGAGATGGAATCTATGGAAAAACAATATCGGGAATTTGTATTAAAACGTACTGGACGGACTGCTAGCCAGCAGACGGAGCAGAGAGATATATGGGAGGGGAGCCATACAGAAGATGTTAAGGCCCATAGAAGGAAACTACTTAAGGATGTGATGAAATGTGGCAAAGCCAAACGTGACGTAAAAATTGCAGAAATAGCGAGGGTAGACTCGTATCTCCTCGCACAGACAGACAGAGAAAGATTATGGAATGAGGAAAAATTTGAAAGGGAGAGACAAGAGAAACTGTCCTTAATGGTGCAGGTAGAGCGTCTGCACGCCCTCGTGAGAGAGAAAGAATCGCACTAAATGCACCAGTGAAACACCCAGACGTTGATACACCAGAACACATACGGGAGTAACAATTTACCACACTCCGAGCCACGGGACGTAGCCAGGGCCAGATCCCACACTGAGTGTGGCTACTATGCAAAGCAATTTTGATAAAGTAACACCCTCGCAAATCGAGGAGAGAGAAGAGGAAATAATAATACAAACGGGAAAACATGAGGCCGACCACCCCAACGTTAGAAAGAGACAATATTAACCCTAAGTCATCAGGATACACTGTA